GCAACCTTTAAAAATCAAAATATTGATTTGAAATTTACAGAATTTTTATTATTTTAAACCTGAAAAATAATATCGAGACGAGAAAAAGAATTAAAATAAAACAAAAATTCAATTTTTGACGATTTTGGTAATTTTTAAAAATCTTGAGCGACCCCTAAAAAATTTTTAATGGTGCTGATCTTTTGACAGGGCTCTTAAAACATGACAAACCAACATATTTTCACAAGGGACGAGAAGAAAAAAAAATTTCTTTTTTTTTGGGCCACCCTAATATATAGATATATATATACTTTTTATTGCACTTAATAATCCTTTTGATCTGATAGCCGTCTATATATAGGCTTAAGAAAGGTTTTTGCTCGGGTAAGTTTAATCTAATGTTTCTAATCCAGTTTTAGCTCGTTTATAAACTGTTTTAGCTATGGGATTAATTTATCCTAAAACGTTAAAAGCATGATATACTCGCAGTAAGGATTATATGGAATCTTTTAGTTTTAAATAAAGCTATCCAAGCACATCTTGTTACTATAGTAACTTTTATTTGTTACGAGTATAAAATAAAATGGTATGATTATTTTAAATGTATACTACTTTTCTTAACCCGGCAAATTATCAGTGGTTGCAGTACACTTCATTTTCTTTGTTGCTGATTGGTCTTGATAACGACGATCGAAAACCATTAGGTCTTGATGGAAACGTTCTCCTTGTCCCTTTGAATAGCTCCAAAGTTTAAAATTATCTAAATGAGCATGTGGCATGTGTACTTTTAGAGACATCCTGCTCTTAGTAATTTTTGTCTTCAACTTTTAACTGACTATCTTCAACATTTGAAAGATTTAGAATTGTTATATTAGCCATAATTTGATGTGTAAATGCGGCATTTGCACGTTTTTAGGTTTAGCAATGGAGTAACATTTAACATTTTGGTTTTTATGGTAAAACCCCAAAGACAATTTTACAAAATAAGAAAAATAATGTCTAAATTATAATTTAATGATAACTACAACAAATGTATAAATAAATAATTCGATAGCCCGAGGGATAGCCTGGTCTCTGACCCTGATACCCAACTCACACTCAAGAAGGGCTTCAGACAGAAGGGTTCTATGTGCCAAGAAGTTTTGACTCTATTGATTTGAATTAATATGCAGAAATTAATATGTAACAATTTAATTTTTTTATTTTAAATAGAAGTTACGTTATTTAGCTACATTTTAATTACTTAATACCTTTAAAACCTTTACATTTATACCTTTACTCAAAAAAACAGAATTATTTCGTTAAAAAAATAAAATACCAACCCGTAAAAAGTAGTTTTTTGCAGGACTTAAAATTCATAATTACAATTTCTCTAAAAAAGCATTAGTAGTAGATTAATGCACACTACGCGAATGAGTCACTCAAACTTTGAACAACAACAACAACAAACATTTAAAGTTGAGCTAATGTTTTAAAATATAGAAAATAGAACATTGATGTGCAGAGCAGTAATCTACTCAATATAGGTTTGATCACATAATGCATATGCCAAAGGAGCTTCAAATACCTTTAATGTAACACAATGATAAATTACATTAGAAAAGTAGGTGGTATAGCTATTTATGTATGAAGGGCATTATGTAGGCTTTAAGGCCTGATGGGCATTACAGCCTTATAATGCATGTAGTGCATACAATGCTTTATATTTTACTTAATATATTATGTTTTTATCAATAATTTAAGTATTAAATAAACTTCTTAAATTTTTTACTGTCACTGTAAGGGTAGACTTCACTACTTAGTGACCTATGGTTTATAGTGGAAACCAAATGTTGATTTGTTTGTCAAACATAAGTTATTAGAAATATGCTAAAGGATAATAAATAATGTATAAATAAAATAATTAATATTAATAAAAAAATATAATATTAATATAAATAAAAAAATTAATATTTGTAATGCCCTTTATTTTGGCGTCAAGGAAAAGACAACATTTATTCTTCCTACAATGAAAATTCGTAAAGAAAATACAATCTAGTTCGTATTATGTATGACAAGCATAAAATATTCAAAATTCTATAGAAATAATATGTAATATATCTAATTTATAATAATTATAATTTTTTTAATAAAATTTCTATTTTGGCCAACTTTTTGAAAAATACCCATATACCGTATTATTTTATTATGAAACTAGTATAAGTGCTTATTTAGTCTAAAACATTAAATATAAAATTAAAAAACAGGTTAAAATCTGTATTTTTTTTTCTTTAAGATTGTATGCATGATAAAATCCAATACAATCTCAAGGGTTTATGCAAATTATGTGCCTTTTACGAGCATAGGAAATTTGTATCGAAGATTGAAACATCAAAAGCTAAACTTCGTTAGACCGACCTCAATTCCCTAAACCTCTTCTTATCCATTCGTATTACCTTTAGATTGTTACTGTCAAGGGGTTTTCGAATTCCAACTTAGACAAAAAAAAGCGAAAATATTTATTGCGGATTAATCAATTAAGGTATAGGAATGATAAAATATGAAATAGTATGCTCTCTTAAAATGAAATAGTCAAAATTCTACTATATGAATTGTACCAGAATTTTTTACTAATAAAATAGTCGTTTTTACTTTTAAATAGTTATTTTTTACTACGTAAAAACCGCAACACAAATAATATATGGGTCAGAATTTCTCAAACGGGCCACCTGAATTAGGTCAAAATTAGTTTTTGTTTGTAGATACATTTTTTTGATAGTATTTTACATCACTAACACAAATCCTAAAGGATTTTGTAAAAAAAAAAATTTTCAATTGACATATTCATGATATTAAAAGTTTTTAATAATTAAAAAATAAAAAAATTCATTATGGCTGAACTAGTTATCCGATTCCAACGATATAACTAGCGTTGGAATCTTGTTTTGACATAGATTCTTTGTTATTTTTTTTCAATTGTCCTATTTTCATTTAGGTCGATTTTTTTTTGTTTTTTTTATACCAAATTCGGAAATAATTGCCTTCTGCGCCAGCTATCGACTCGAGAAAAAAAACACATATACTTCAATCATTTCTCGAAATTATGCTGCTGAGAAAAAAAATGGCCCGCAGGTTGACAAAAAGTTATTCGTCCTTTTGTGACCGCGCGCGGTGTCAGCTCACGCTCCGAACCGTGTACGCTGTACGCGCTTGTGACGCGACGTCTTACGGTGGTCTGGAACCTGCGGGCCATTTTTTTTCTCAGCAGCATAATTTCGAAAAATGATTGGAGTATATGTGTTTTTTTTTTCGAGTCGATAGCTGGCGCAGAAGCCAATTATTTCCGAATTTGTTATAAAAAAACAAAAAAAAATCGACCTAAATGAAAATTGTACAATTGAAAAAAATAACAAAGAATCTATGTCAAAACAAGATTCCAACGCTAGTTAAATCGTTGGAATCGGATAATTAGTTTAGCCATAATGATTTTTTTTTATTTTTTAATTACTAAAAACTTTTACTTTTAATATCATGAATATGTCAATTGAAAATTTTTTTTTTACAAAATCCTTTAGGATTTGTGTTAGTGATGTAAAATACTATCGAAAAAATGTATCTACAATCAAAAACTAATTTTGACCTAATTCAGGTGGCCCGTTTGAGAAATTCTGACCCATATTCAACTTTAAAATATTATGAACAATATTAAATTTTATTGACAAATAAAATTGATTTTTAAAGGAGCGACTGCTAGCCACATTGGTTATGACAACAGCTTGACAAGCTTGACAAGTGACAGACCTGAGTTCAATACCCGGCTGGGTCAAAACTTTTTTTAAATTTAAATCTACTAATTCGACTATTTCATTCAGTGGAATTTGTCTAATTATTATGGCTACTTTTTCGTTATGACAATTAGTCAAATATGACTTATAATTAGTTATTTTTGACTACATTCATTTTAAGAGAGTGCCTAATATGGAATAGCAGCATTTCTCTAAAATAAGACGTAAAACAAGGTAATCTTTTATCTCTTTTACTCACTTTATCCAGTCGAAGCGGCATAGGGTACAAAAGTTAATTTTTTCGGCGTAAAAGTTAGGTATTTTCGTTATTTAGTTAAATAATTCTGTGGTTTTATGTTTAGCATGTCGTCCATAAATATCATACGGAAAAAATATGGCTTAAGACAATTGTCTTATTCATGGATTATGTGCTCATAATGAGTTCACAAATTTTAAGTATATATTATAGATGAATAAGAAACATTTTTTGTCCATCACTACTCTCTTAAAATGAATTAGTCAAAAATAACTAATTATAAGTCATATTTGACTAATTTTCATAGCGAAAAAACAATTATAATAATTAGTCAAATTCTACTTAATGAAATAGTCAAATTAGTAGATTTAAATTAAAAAAGATTTGACCCTGCCGGGGATTGAACTCTGGTCTGTCACTTGTCAAGCTTGTCAAGCTGTTGTCATAACCCATTCGGCTATCAGCCGCTCTTATAAAAATCAATTTTATTTGTCAATAAATGTTCATAATATTTTAAAGTTGAAAATATTATTTGTGTTGCTGTTTTGAGCTAAGTTTTTTGCATCTTTATTTGTTTTTATGGGTCATTTAACCATGGAGCTTTCCATATGCTTTTAATTCAAATAAAACTTTGTTGTTGTCCGCAAACGATTAAAGAAATTAATTACTATAACTATTAACTATTTACGTAGTAAAAAATAACTATTTAAAAGTGAAAACGACTATTTTATTAGTAAAAAATGCTGGTACTAATTCAAATAGTACAATTTTTACTATTTCATTTTTAGAGAGTAGGTTAATCTAATAAAACTCTGTAAACCTTTGTTCGCAAGGTTCATTTATAATGAAATTCAATATAATTCTGAGGGTTTATGTGTCTTTTGCGAAAAAGTCAAATTTGTAAGGAAACCCGAACAGAAACATAAAGATTGCAACATCAAAGGTGAACTTCGTTAGGCCGGCCGTATTTCCTTCAGCCAATTCTTATTCGTTTGCATTACCTTCAAGTTGTTACCGTCGACTAGCATGTGACACCGGAAAAGTACCACGTCCTTGAGGGAGACCTCCTCGTTCCTGTAGAGGATCTGAAAAGGACGACATGCTCCGTAGTTTCCCAACACGATCGCTGATCCCAAACCGGTTGTTACGTCTGGCGTTGTCACTTCGATTTCCACTCCTAATTTCGACGATACTCGCAAGGAGCATCGCACTTGATACATTCTGAAATAATAAAATACAAAAAACATTTAATTTAATTTAACTAGTTTGCAATTGGCGTCAGTTTTGCATCTAAACGACTCGTAGGACATACATTAGAGTTTTTGAAAGCAGTGCCCACAAAATTAAAATTAACTAATAAATTCATTTGTTCTCTGCTGCAAATTTAGGAGCTCCTTGATTTTGTGACATTACCATAAATGGTTTTGAACAAAACCAATAAAACCAAACCAATATTTATTTAACAAGAAACCAACAGAAATTAGAAATAAAATTAAATTTTCGGAAGCTATTATCTCACTTTGCCAAAAGTGATGGTTGGTTACAAAAACTGTATAGAATTTAATGGTTTCTTGTTGTATGCAATCATTCGTATAACACTCTTATAAAAATCATATTTGTAAACATGACTTTGTAGTTTGTTGATTTTATTTAGTAAAATTTTAACATATTTTTTTTGTAGAAAACCAGAGTTTGTAATTATTTTAACAAAGGAAAATATTTTACCGAAAGTTTTGTAACGGTAATATGCAATTTTGTAAGCATTTCGTTAATTTTATAGGATAATGTTTATCAAATTATTTCGTTGAAAAAGTACACGTAATTTCAGGAACTCAATCAAAACATTTCCCACTGACAATACGCATCAACAAGTTCAACTGACTTCAGCGTCTGCAACTTATGTTTCTGCTTACTTTATTCTAATTCTTAATTGGTTCGTAACAACTGTCCAGAGTGTTTATAAAATATTAGCAGAAATCTGCTATTATTGTTATTCAGATTCCTTATGGGTATATTTCAAAAAGTTGGCCACTTGCTGTTCTGAGGTTAGAACTTAATATTTTCGTAACTAAAATGAAATGTAAAGAATAGATCTGATAAAACAATTATGTAAAAAACCTCCTAATAAGGTATTGAAAATGTATTAAAATTACCTTAAAATATAGTAAATGTCCAATCCGTGACTGTCCCCAGCAAATATTTATGAACTTTACTGACTGCTGGAAAAATATTGTTTCTGCAGTCATAAGTATACTATTTTTTATTTAATTTGTAGTGTATACAGTTATTAACTAAATTTTGTTTAAAAAAGAACCTAAAACATTATTATGAAAAGCATTTTAGTTGATGTCCCATAATTTGAAATGTCCAATCCGTGAAGCCATTTTTACGCAATACATTATTCACAACTCGGCAACGCTTTCTCAAAAAGGTAATAGTACATTCTGTAACAAGTTTGGGATACAGCATATTCCGCTCGAGGAAAAATTTGACACACGAGCCGAAGGCGAGTGTGACGGTTTTACGAGAGTGGAATATGCTATTCCAAACGTGTTTCAGACATTATTTTCTCTACGACTACGTAAGAATAGTAACGCTTATATAATTTTAAACAAAGAAAAGAAACCAAGCAGTTTTTGACATTTAAGTTTTTTGTATTGTCTAACCATTTTGTGCCGTCACAATTTTATATTGTAAATTATAATAAATTTAAACAAATGGTATGCCTAAATCTTTATTATAATTAAAAATAGTTATTTACACTAACTAATAAAAAAAATAACATTGTAACAAATACAAAACTAATTTTACAAGTAATCTATGTCAACATCTATTCTTTTTCTACATTTTAAAGGTTTGTTTTTAAACTTCAAAGCCGGTATAGTAGGTAACTGGTTTATCATTTTAATATCAAATTTATTATAATTTTGATTTGTATATTTGAAAAACAATAAATATAACTAATTTTTTGTGCCTAAACCTTAATTATACAACTGCTATTATTTTTTAATTAATAAATAATACAGTAATATCTAAATATTTTTAAATTTTTTACGTTTAGTAAACAGCCAGGAGATGTCGTTACTTGTGACCATTCTTAAACAAGAGTAGGAATATTCTCGCACAGTATTGCAGAAAAACATCCTTTCTATGATTAAAAATTACACTAGAATGTTACTATTCTTAAGTAGTCGTAGAGAAAATATCTTCTGTAGTTTGTAGTACGTGTCAAAGTAAATTATTTTATGTGTGTAGGTGTAAATAAGAAATAATTAATTAATATGAAAATTTTGGTTTTATCACCCTAGAACTATATTTCGGGAAAATTTTAAGCACACAGAATAAAGATGAAATCGTTAAAGGAAATTTTTAAATTAATCTTAAAAAAGAAGAAGAGACTGATATTTTAAATGGAAAACAGTAGAAAATAGTCATCGAAGAATCGATAATAAAAAATGTAAATACAAAAATTAAATTAATATTTGTAATGCCCTTTATTTTGGCGTCACGTAAAAGACAACATTTATTCTTCCTACATTGAAAATACAATCTAGTTCGTATCGTGTATGACAAGCATAAAATATTCAATAGTTGATTAATATTCTATAGAAATAATATGTAATATATCTTATTTATAATAATTATAACTTTTTTATTAAAACTCCTATTTTGGAAAACTTTTTGAAAAATACCCTTATACCTTTTTAACGAGTGTGCAAAGTGCGAAGTATCCAAAAAAAGGTTTTCAAACTATATTAGTAAGTGTTGTATTAGTATTGATAATTATATTGTACCAAATTTCTTTATACCTAATTTGATAATTTCAGAATTGTGTCTATGTTATTTTTGTGTTAATTTATGTAGGCTTGTGTTAATTGTTTTGTTTAGGAAATTAATTAATAGAGCAACATTTCTTATCAAAATTCTTTTCATTTGAGTTCCAAATTTCCAACAAATACTTTTGTTACTGGGTCTACTAAAAGGTTTGTAAAAATAAGGTCCTTTTTGAAAATTACAAGAATTATGGTTGAATTATTGACATAGGCATTTGTTATTAAATCTACAAAATGTACTGTTGGTTGGGTTGGATTAACATAAAATCTGGTTATTATTGATTAAAATTAAGAAATATTTTTTTACTTTGTAGTATTATCTATACATATACAGAGTGGAAACCTTAACTGGAAAAAAATATGTATTTTTATAACAAGTTATTTTTTAAAACTTCAAAAATCATGTGTTATTTTTTTATTGGTATATTATGGTTATACTTAAAAAAACTATATAACCATTTGCGCGATAATTTGCTTCTAATTAACTAACAGTCCCTTGGCAAACAGGAGGCAATTCTGGATGCGTTTCGATAAATAATCGAGCAACTTCTGTCTAATTTCGACATCTATCACCAAATCCAATCATCATTAGAATCTCAATACGCAGAGTTCTAGTTAAATAAGGCATTTTCACAGTCAACTCTAAATACGTTACTAATTTTAAAAAACTACAAAACAATATTTTTGTTAAATCTAGAAAGTTTTTGTTGGATATATTAATAGTTATTTTTGATGTTAGAATCTAACCGATAAATTGCGAAATGCCTCTTTTGCATTCGAGAATGCAAAAGAATTTCACAATTAAACAACATTTTTTCGAAAATGGTATGCCACAGTTTATAGATTACTAAAAATGTTGAGTAAATTGCAATTGTAAAAGTATTTTTTCTACAACCGAGCGAAAAGTACAAATTTGCGCTACCAAAAAAAAGTGTCAAACTTCTCGTCAGAGCGACAATATGTCACTTTGCGCTATTAATACACAAATAGCTATTGCGTACATAGCAACATCTGTAAAAGTATTTTGCGTACATAGTAACGAATGTAAAAGACTTTATGTGGACAAAAATTTTTATTTTGACACTTAATAAATAGTATGTAATGGCAGTTTGCGGAAATAGTTATTTGTTTTACAAGTGTTGAAAATCTTTTTCATGCGAGTGTTCAAGTTGCTCACGAGGCCGTCAGGCGGAGTGTGCATTAACACGAGCTTGAAGAAAGCTATTCTCACAAGTGAAACGCAATGTTATTTCTCTCTTTTCTCTTTTATTTTTTATTATATTCAAATAGAAAACAAAATAACCTAAAAACGTGTTTGACAGCTGTTAAAATCCTTTCATCTTATTCTTTTTATATTTAAGGTACAAGTTAAAATCAATAAACTTACCTTCTCAATTTAGATAAAGGCACTAAAAACTAGAATTTATTATACAAACAAAATTAATTGTGTTCTAAATGATATTTGAACATACATATACAAATACAATACAAATTTTGAATCGAATGTCAAACGATGCTGTCAATTTCTTTTCACACAGACCTGTCACTTTTCACACAGAAATGTCACTTTACATTCGTATTTTGCCAATGAAAAGATTCATTTTTTAAGCAACGATGCCAATACGAAATGTGACTTTTACATAGTGGTCGTAGAAAAAAGTTTTTTTGTTCTGACTAAATTTAAATACCAAATAGTTTTACGAATTTTTTTAAAAATTGTAAATTTTATAACAATAAAATGTGTCCAATATACAGCGCAATTGGCTTTATTTTTATTTTTTAACGTACCAAAATAGTATAAGTAATTAAAAGTTGCAAATTGGTATGAATTACGTGTTTTTGCAGATTTTTTTCAACGCTGAAGGGCTGGAATTGTTAATAAATTCCTATAATGACTTGACGTTAAGAAAGAAATGTATAAAATGCTATCCCAAAAGGGGTAAGTTGGGACACTTTAAAATTCAATTTTAATCCCGGCGCATTCGCCATTTATGAAAGTATTTAACGGCTGATCGGATTTTGATAAAATTTGGATGGACAATTAAAACGGTATTGAAACGAAATAAAAATGCAACGAAAATAAGATAGAACGGTATTTTGATTATCTTGAAGAAGGATAGAACTTTTTTTAATTTTTTAAATGTTTAGGTTCGACGTGATTTTTTTTGTATAAAATGCAAAAAAAGCAGAATCGATTTTTGAAATTTTATTGATTTAGGATTCAAGACCTTATTTACAAGGCCAAATGTTTTCTTACGTGCTATGGGGCACTTTATTTGATTTTTGAACACATTTTAAATAAAAAATTAACACCATCATGAAAGTTTTAATCGGTTTTTTTCGAAAAGTCCGCTTTCCCTAAAAAAGTTAAAATTTCAAATGTATTTA